TTGATGGTTCCCCCTTTCGAGATTTGCACGTAAAACAAACTTATTATGGTCAAAAACTCTTGATGTAAGATTCAAATTACCTGCTGGTTCACAGAAATCAATATCTAACACTTTGTCCCTAGGAAAAGCTCTAAATTTTCGATCGAATTTAATTTTTCATCTAACACTGCAAAGAAGATTCCTACAAAAATAACAAATAGGAGGGGAGCTATTTTCACGCATAGCACTGGTCATCTGGTGGCGATTGTGGTACCCTCTTCCTCGGGTTGGTATTTCGCTAGCTGTGTCTCCAGGTATTCAATCCTCTTTAAAAGCTTCGATTTTGCACTCGTAAATTCGGCAACAAAACGAGCCATCCTGAAAAAAAAATTCAGTAATTGCAGATGAATCAATTGAAATCAGGATTTTAATCACGCCAGTGGGACAGTCAAACCCCTTTACGGTTCGCACAGGCGGACCCACAGCGGAGGAAGGAAGGGAATGAAGGGTCTTTCGTATTGCTCCTTCCCCCCTCCACCCGCTAATGACGCAAACGCGAATGTTGCAAAAGCCCGGGTCTAAAGCTAAAACTAAAGTAAATCAAAGTCTAAAGTAACCCTAAACTGAAGTAACTACAAATAGCAATGCTATAACTTTGTTTTTATTTTCTGCGTAGTTCCAGGGTGAGAACTTCCCTACTCTCATCACTTACCCTTCGCCCTTCCATTTCTCTCTAGGAGTCCGTCCTGGATCTGCCTATGACGGTTCATCCATTTATTTCGATGATAAACTGGTACTGGTGCATTTCCGAGAATCGATTCAGCTACAGTTTACTTCCAAGCAATCCCAGAAAGAGAAAGCCAACGATAGCATTGCCAGAGGCGAATTTCTATTTTATAGAATCTTTTATCAGTTATTCTGTACTGCATCATTGAAAAAATACACACCTGATTTGTATTGTCTTCAGTGAATTTTGCAAATTTTCGGTCATCTCTTCAACGGTCATCTGTTCTTCTGGTGCATTCTCATCCAGCAAACCATCCTTGCGCAAAATTTCTCGCCCCTAAATATCATTAATTAACTCAATATCAATAATTGCTTGAGTCTAAAACCATTAATTAATTAAAAAGTATATCAATAAGTGCATTCTGTCACAAATGAAAATGCCCAGCTCAATTTTTTCCAAGATTTTTTCTCGGAAAATTTTTCCGAAAAATTTCGGCATTGAGAGAGCTGTAATTAAAAAAGAAGTTTTACTATAAACTGAGCTACTAAAAAACACTGGTATCATTCTGTTCTCCCAAAAAAGAATAGCAATCTGTCCTTCATCCATCAAAAAAGTGGAAGACGCTAAGGCGTCGAAATATTCATTATGCTAATTTCCTAACAAAGCAGGCATATTTTCGTGGGCTACTAACTGATTAGTGCAGGAAATCACTCTTTCACGATTAAAACTGTAATAAGAAATTGAAGAACCTTCGCAATGAGCAATTTTCGAGCATCTGGATATTCCTTCAGTGCAGTCCAGAGATCGTTCTTGTTCAGAACAAAAAGATCCGTGTAACCCACTGAACGTACGTTTGCTGTTCGTCGATTGCCGTTTTTACTGCCTAAATATCCAAATACTTAGATTCTGGCGTATGCGGATCCAGAGGGAGGAGCGATGAGCCTTTTGCCCTTCCTAGCGCCACAGGCACCAGCGCTACAAAAGTCCGGATTTAAAGGTAAAATTGAAGAATACTCTCTTCCGCACCTCCAGAAGCTCCTCCTCTCTCCTCCCTCCCAGGAGACCCACTCCTCCCTCCCCCTTCCCCGGCCATCGCCCCTAGGAGCCTCATTCCCTTTCCCCTGACCGAATCGTCTCCCCCTCCTTCCCCGTTCCCCCTTCTCCCCGCCCCTTCCCCCACCCTCCTCAGGTAGCCGTCTGTCTATCGATCTCGGTAAAATATCAACTTTTCACTCGACATTAGTAATACGAGGCAAAGTTTCAAATCAGTTTTGGTAATTTTAAGTAAAGGTTAACAAATCCTCAGTCGATTTTGATAATTTTAATCAAGGCCGAATTACCAGCTGATTTTGATAATTTTTTTGCAGAATTATCAACTAATTAATCAACTCTAATTATTCCAAACATTGAGAAGGATGTTTGGAGACGAAAAGTTTCTCGAAGGTAAATGATAAGAAAAATTACCAGCTGCATCGCTAGCCAGAAGGAAGATTATTGTGAATTAGTGTGAGAAGATTGTGGATCGGTTTTGCACAGCAATATGTAAAATGTTTAGTGGGAAATTCTGCAGCTTAAGAGCTAGGCAACACGCTGACTATTTTTGCACACATCCAAGTGTAAAGCAGTGAAAATTCTTTACAGCAAACGCTGGCTGGACGGAACTGAGCGAAAAGCAAAATCGCACCAGTTATTCTAATGCGCTCTGCTTATTTATTTCTTTTTTTGTTCCACTTACCGGCAATATTGAGAATGCTTAGTTCTCCAAAA